CTTTATTTCGAGCTATTCTGATAAGCACTAAATTTTATCAATAACCAATAATTTCAACATGTAAAGAGTGGTAAGTAAGCATGGCAGGATACGATCAATTAGTTTTTAAGGGTTGTTTGAGGGTCAGTCGTAACACAGTGGCAGCAATGTAGAAGTTGCGGTGAGGAGTAGGTCGCTCTAAGAAGTCTACTACCCGCCCACACACAACATTGATTCGAAACCTTTCTTCAAGAATTTCCTAAACAGTCGTTACTCTCCTGGTTATGTTCACTGCACAAGAGTTTCCTGTACGACTATGTGAAGGTTGTATTGATACTGTTGTAGAGGTGGAGGTATCGTGTAGCTGGCAGCAGGTTCCAGGGTCAAGGGTTACTCAGACCAGCCTGAATCCCTGGAGACCCAGCAGCGGTTCTCCTCACCCACTAGAATTAGGAATTGAAGTATTCTTGATGGTAGGGCGGACTGACTTCACTTTCAAGTATCACACTACTGTTTGTGGTATAGAGAAGAAGGAATATTTTTTAAATACGTTTGCATTACATTGATGTAATACGCTAAATTTTGCCCCGAGGGACGAGTTTATTAAACAGCGCCACTCATCCTAAGTGAACAAGCCGAAATAATGACAGCATATTACTGCCTCAATAGCTGAAATAAAAGTGCGTGTCAACGGAGTTATAGTCCATTACTTTTGGACAATGAAGTAAAGAAATCGGTTAAGATTTCCATGGCAGGGGGGTTCCTTCAACTGCGATAGCTGCCTCCTTCCCACACAGGTGATGCTGAGGATGAGACGTGGGAAGTGGCCTTACTACTCCCAGAGATTATCATTCGGCTAACCCTCATCCACCACCCTTGCCTTTGTAATGAGCCTTTGCAATAGATGTTTCATAAACTAAATACGCTATGCTTCGTCTCAATACATGCTTACGTTCCTGTTTCTAGTAACCACATGAATTATAGTAACAAGTAAACAAGAAACAGATGCCCTTAATTCAGAGTTTCATTTACATAGCTACCATGATCAACGGTGAATTGCAGTTTCAGCTTCTGAGGCACATGTTCAGCAGCATAGTTTCTTATGCAACACAGTCCCTTAGTGTGCACTGAGCTGGTTTGGATCCCTAGATAAGAATGAGAAACATGATTGTAAAAATGTGTACATTGAAGCTGATTGTTAAAATATGTAGATTAATCGTCAATACTAAAATTAATGATACTTATGACATAGAAACAGCAGCAATCTGTATTTCCCGGTTTCTGTATCAAGACTGAAGAAGTCACTCGTGGCGTTTTAAAACGTTTCATTTAATAAATGGCATGAAATGTACATAGGTCTCTTTCCACACCTCGTTGGTATCACCATATCTTATACTTACAATAGTGTATTGCAGCAGACACTACCGTCGCAGGTGTGGGAGTGTCTGTCCGGTCCTGTGTGTAACATCTGCGAAAGACATAAAAATGAATATTTAGGATAATTTCGGGGTTCCCTTTGCCGTGTCTTGCAATTTCTATGTATCCATCATGACTTTTTTGCTGGCAGGCTTTCAACAATGGGATTTAATGAGTGAACATTATCAGCTCGCTGATGATGGCCTGAATAGGCTATTGCGCTCTTTATCGTATTTTTTTTTTTTTTGTGTGTGTTCATAGGTATATTTATCCAGCTCCGTTTCTCCATCTATCTTTTTTTTTTCTTTTGCAAATCAAACCTCGAGATCCAAGCAAGACTAAATGCGTAGATCATACAATGGCAGACGACTTTGTCTTTCTCTAGTACTGTTAGCCAGGTTTTGGTACTGTGCCTTTGGGCTCAACCAACTCGTGTCTAATCTTGACCCTCATCGTCTTATAAAAAATAGGCGCCGTCCTGACATGGGTCCTGGCCTTACCCTGGAGGGACAATTTCCCTTAATAGGGGCAATTTTCTCTGTTAGGTATAGCACGAAGGTGTTGGCTTAATGCTATCCTGTAGTGAACATGCTACCCAGCCTGGTGATTAGTGAAAGTGATTGATGGTAGATAATGTAATGGTTTCTAAGGCTGTGTTAGTGGTAGAAATGTAGACTGTAGGTTATGGTAGATATGACGGTTTTTTTTTTTTAGGGTAGTGATATTGGTGGTGACGTTACCCTCGTATATTTCTTGGTAACGTCTCTGTCTTCTTTCATGTACACGTGAACCCTTCTTTCCCCTCACACCGTTCATTAATGTTGTCATCGTATGACGCGACTGCTTCACTCCTCTCGACAACACAAACATACTTTCCTATCCAGCATCTCACATGGACGGAGAGTTTTACAATATCATTAAGTTATCCATTCGAATTTCAGCACGAGGATAGCGCATGTTGGAAGTTTATTTTGTTTTTCATCTTAGATTTAAAGAATGATATTATATACTTTCAGTTCAGTTTTCTAATGTGATGAACTGTACATTTAACGTGAACCGAGTCTTAAAGATTTTTTTTTAATACCGGCCGTCCTCCACCTAGATAGGGTGATCCACAATTAAGGAACCACATTCACCATCATTCAGTCAGTCGCTGTCTTGCTAGAAGTGCTGACATAACAGGTCAGATGACCTTCCGAACTGTAAGATTCTTAGTCGTATCGTAAAGAGTGCGGCCACTACCTCCTGC